TTTAAAAAAAAAAAAAAAAGGAAAGAAAAAAAGAAAAAAAGGAAAAACTTACCCCGGTATTCCTCCGCTCTCCATATAGTTGGCCAGGGTGACGTCGTTGCTCCAAACGTCGAATTGCCATTTCCTCAAGCCAAGAACCCCGCAATGAACTCTTCCAGTGTGTATTCCCACTCTCATGTTCACGTTCACTGCGCCCACTTCTCGATACAGTCTATAAGAGGAAAAAAGAAGAATCGATTGCTTTAGAAATAACACTGTAGTGATTATTACACTACGGATTATATTTATATCGCTGAATAGTATGGGAGAAAAAAAATATAAATAAATCATAAACTTTTATAACTTTGAAATTATAAATTTTATTTCTTCATTATCATTTTCGAAGTCATTTGATTAGTTTGTATATCGAAGTGTTATATTTTTATAAAATATATGAAACAGATTTTTCAAAATGTTTTTGCGAATTAATAATTATTTTCGATTTAAATAATTTAAATTTAAACATTTTTCCAATAATGCATAATAACTATTTTAATCGAAAAAATATTAAAATATTCATTCTTCAATCACATTTGATCAAAAGTTTCTTTAGTTTCTTCGTGGCTATAGAGAGTTTCAAAACGAAATGGTTTTTATTTAGTGGAAGCGCCGTATCGAGGCGCTTCCGTCGTATTTTCACGAAATGACCGGAAAAAGGTTAAGGAAAGCGTTCTAAGAGCAGGAAACAAGTAAATGAAAGTAGCCCGTGGAGACGAGAATTCTCGTTATATACGTTTGCTTTTGAAAAACACCAAGTTCCGTCAAAGGAATGATTTCCTTCGAGAATAAAGTGCCATTTGTGCTCGTGCTTCGAAAACGAATATATCGAGAAATCCCATAACGATTTATATTATTACGAAGTAAAACGTGAATTCTTTGTAAAGAGAAATAATATATCTCTGAATAAAAAAAATGTTCATAAAAACATTAGTAATTTATCGCTTTGTTCAAAATAAAATTTCAACGTATGTCGTTCTTCTATCGTGCATCGTTATTTTTACACAACGCTAATTACGAATAATGGAAATTGGATCAGGCGTTAATTCGTTCATTTAGAAGAGAGAAACAGAATGGTTGGCATTGGAATACCAGAAAAAAAAAGAAAAAAGGAAGAAAAAGAATTCGATGCATCAGAAAATTAGTAGGACAGAAGACTCACGTAATGGCGCTAATCATGTCCAAACCCATTTCCACGCAACAACGCGCGTGATCTGGCCTCGGTTCAGGAAGTCCGGAGACGCAATAGTAGCAGTCACCAAGTAATTTGATTCGCAGACAATGGTGCTCAGCTGCCAGTGTGTCGAAGCTACAAAATTTACAATTAGTATTTTTATTAAAATTATTCACATTCTTTCATTCAATATTCGTGAAAATAATTAAATTTATATAATATCCATTTAACAATTAGAAATAATTTAAGGGAGAGGAGGATTAAATTATTTATTTATGAGGGAAAGAAAATAAAATTTTCAATAATTATTGAAAATGTCTGTCAAATTATTTAACGTCGAATACATGTACAAGATAAATAAATTTTAAATTATTTTATTCCTCGAATACATTAATACGTATAATTTAAATATTTTTGCGTATTACGCGTGTTCTCTACATTTTTGTACATTTAAATTTCACATAAATGCATAAATGCATAATGATGATTACAAAACTTACTGTCGTACAATTATTATTAAGCATAATACGTATAAATATCGAATCGAATCTTCAATAAATTTTACATCCAATTTTACAACAAGTATGTATTATCGGATCGTTAATAACGCAGAAAAAAGAATTAACTCCTCTTAATCTAGAATATAGAATAAAGATATGGACAACGATACAAACCAGGCGAATAATTTATTCAATAGTCTGACGACCTCCTCGGCAGTGCATTGATCCGACAAGGAAGTGAATCCACAGATGTCGGCGAACAGAATGCTGGAAAACGATTACAAAGATGTATTCTTCTTTTAGGTTAGGTTCCGGTAAGTGGTATCTAAGTCACGATGTTAATTAGAATTCGTTAGGTGTACGTCGTGCGACTTAACGAGACTCGAGTGGCAGATACGTGTTACTCTAACGTGTGATAGACGCGTGCACCAGTCTGGTGCATAATAATGCTGAATATTCAGTTGCTGCCCCGGTTATACGCATATACCACATAATCATTCACCGAATATTCATTCTCTCTATTATATGTGTATATCTCTTACTCATCATATATGATTAGTTGTTATATGTTTCTTTCATTACAAATACTTTAATCTTTCTTATTATTCGTTATATCGAAGTCATAATTTCTTTCATCTTTTTCTTTCCATTTCCAAAGTTTATTGGTATTTTAAAATTTTGAAAAAAAAATTCTTACGAAGCGTTCACATAGATTTGAAAGAGGTGCTCATTAATATTTCTGCTATTCAGATTTCTCGAATATTATTGTTAAGAGATCTTTCTTTTTTTTTTGAAATTCCACTCGCGTCCAAATGGATTTAAAAGGATTAGATATTATATACGTGTGCGCAATTCGAAAATTTCTCGAGTATTATTGCCAAGATTTCTCTAAAACTTCCACTCGTAGTCATAGAATACTAAAAAAGATTAAAGATTATATAACATGTTTGATTCCTATTATTCCAAATTAGATTTCTCGAATATTATACATCATACCTTTAAAAGATATTTTCGAAATTTTACTCATACTTCTAAATCATCACTCAAGAATACTATATAAGAATGGACAAATTTATTTTTCCAAAATTCCAAACTTGGAAAATTTCTTAAATAATAATATTTAAAACTTCGAGATCGATGCATCCAACGAAAAGAACAATTAGATAAAACAGTTCTCTGCTCGGCAACGAAACTCGATACTCTCGACGCCTTTATATATATATATATATATACAATATCGTTGTATCAGGATATTTTGCCCTCACCTGACGTTCTCGTGCCTCTGAATGTAAATTTTGTGAAACATGGTATCCTTTGGCTTCCCCGCGATGTCAGCTTTCATCTCCATGGCTACGTGGCGCGGCAGCACGCTCAATAGAAGCCTTTCCTAGAAAAAAAAAAAAAAAAGAAAGAAAAAAAAAAATCATGGAAAATTCATCGTCGCCCGTTGTGTACATGAACAGCGTTCACGGATAGAGAAAAGGGAATGCAATTCCTCGCATCACCTGAGAATTCATTGCTTCTCTCCCCTCCTCCTCCTCCCCCCCCTCCCATACTGCTTTAAAATTGACCGGTTTCTCTCCAACTTACTTGCCTTTGCGTCTTACTCGAGCACACTTCCGGTTGATCACAGGATATTAAAGTGAAGAATCGGAGAATTGTCTATATACGATATTTCACACGAATATATTTCTCGAAGATACGGGAAGAATTTGATAAAAAAAAATCTTTGCGATTAATTGTTTCGAAGTTAGAAACATAAGTTAAATTTTTCTGTGGAAAATTGGAAAATCGATGACTTATTTTCTCTTTCCTTCGTCTTTTCTTCGAGAAGTTATTACAGAAGTGTATTTGTATTTGTATACTATGAACGATTTTTTCCTTTTTTCAATTTAATTAATATTTCAGCAGACAAGGGATCTTGAAGTTTCAAGCTTCCCACTGAGATTTCAAGAAAGATATTTAAAGTGTATCTTTAGAGAGGAATATTTCGATTTCAACATTGTATTTCATTAACATGCAGTGCACAAGCCTTCCGACAAGCTGATCTGTCGGTATTAACAGGTACATACCGCTTTGAATTCTCTTTGGTATTTGTACCAGCTGGTTAATTAACCATGTTGTTATGTTGGAAACTTGCGGTGAATCTAATAAATCCGTACACTCAAGACACCATTCATCTCGTCGTTTGATTATTAAAGAATTTCTAACTTCCTTGAATTTTAATTTTTAATTTCTCGAGTTCCTTCTTCCTCTCTCTCTCTCTC